ACAGAGTTTGTAATTTCCATACAATAAAAATTAATGAGCTCTCTTTGAACTGCTCTATCACTAATATTAAGCTTAAATTTAGCAATAATAACCAAGTGTTACGATACTAGTCATCGTGTTTCTCATACTAAGTGAGTAAATTGTATTATATGTGTTTCTCTACTTTGCACCACCTACATGTGGCGACTGTATATAAGCTCAAGCAGAAAATATATCGCTCAGTTGATACTTCTCTAGTGTACGACAAGGTACTATACTTTCGTTGTATGAATAGAAGTAAAACTCATAACGCTAATCTTACAACAAGCCGCTTATTATACTTGTGAGGAAGTTGTTAGTCTTACTTACAGTATCTCTCCATAGTTAGTTGGAGTGACTAAGTAGCTGATAAGTTAGTTGATCACTCACATTAGAAGAGAGTAGACAGTGGTATTACTCCTGTGAGTGACATCAATATATTAATATTATAGTATATAAAGTTTAAAATTTAAATACAATAAAAATAAGTAGGTTCTCTTTGAGTTATCGTTACTTTATACATTATATTAAACTTAAACTTAGCGCTAATAACCTGATATTCATATCGCACATAGAGTCAAAAACTTAAAAGCAATAAAAATAAATAGATACTCTTTGAGTTACTCAATAATATTATAACTTTCAGTTTAACAATAATAACTTAGATATGTCTTACCTCCAAATGGATACTGTGCAGTTTGAAGGGTTTTATTACATACTGGTATCGCGCAGTATTCCCATAACACCACGGTCTAGATCGAGCTCCAACAGGATTACGGCAATAGTTCGATATTAAATCCGAGTAGCGATACCCTGTAGGATTATATGAGCCATTAAGTGACCAAGGTTGACAACGTGTACCATTTTCTGAGAAATAGCGAGGTCCGCGGTAGTACTGGCCATTGCCTATTCTACAGTTTGCACCTAGTGCCATAGTAAAATTACCAAAACTTGAGGCTTGTAGGATTAATTATCAGTCATAAAATTCTACAGTGTATCATTACTTAAGCATCAATTGGCCAATATTATGCTAGCACGCGGTTGATACAGAAATCATTGAAGCAATCAATCAATTCTTGCTGCACGATATATATGGCAACTTACTAGGTGATCTTATATCAATATCATCGATTAGGATTTCATTATTTGAAGTCTTGCCACAATATCCACGAATCATTATCTGTTAATAAATAATGAATAGTTTGATAACTATAAACTTCGATAGCATGGTTAGTTAGAGTCTCCTATCAATACAAAAAAAGTAATAGCAATTGTGCAAAATATCTATTCTAAGTAGTAGTACACTAAGTATGAAATCCATTATTCTATTAAACATTTCAAGGGGATATCATTTCACTTGTTAACATATTTCTCTGCTTTAAACCTCACAATGCTTAATCTCATATTGATCACTTACACGATAATAAGAATATTTTGCTCTAAATCGAAATCTTGAATTTCCCCAGTTGTTACTCGATGCTGGTCTTATCGAATTTACCAAATATCGTGTAGCAGTCATCTTAGGGTAAAGTACATAGACTTCAATTTTACCAGCTGGCGTACCATAGGCAAGAAGGGACATTGTGACCTGAAAATTATTGTTTAATCAATCATCTTGAAATAGTTGAAAATGGAATGCGATATTTAGCCTTGTAATGTCGCTAATTTTTATTGACCTAACCTCAACAAAATTAAAAGTACCCACGGCTAGCATAGGCGGACTAATTAAATCAGCATACCGTATCGTTTCTTCGCGAACGATACCAATGGCATCGAACAACATATAATGGCCGTGAACTATAGTATAATAATTTTTATAAATTAGCAATCAATTAATGCTAGTACCTTACTATAGAAAATATCCCCTTGGTATCGATATTGAATTTATATAACTGTTAAATTACCCACCTTAAACTAAACTGACTTTATTGAATATTTTAAATCTTATAATATCTAATTTCTTCAATAAGAGCATGTACAAGATTTAAATTACACTATAGTTTAAGGATTAGCTTACTTGATTTAGTTGTATGATCAGTGATTGTAACTCCTGGGCCAATGCTTCGGCCAGCTCTAGTGCGATACCATTCTCTAAAGTCTGTTCCATACGCTTGTTGAAAATTGCACATATCCTTTTCAAATGTGCAAAATATTGAACTGACGGGTGGAACTAAAAAGTAACATTCAATCAGTTTGTTGAAAAGTATCCTTGACACTTTCTTGGTATACAACAGTAACATCAGGCTTATAATAAATACATAATTAAGAAATAAAATTCTCTCACGACGTTACGGAAAGTTACTTATGATATAAATAAATAATCGATTAATCATATTTCGTAGACATACCATCAATCAGATCTGTGCTTGCTAAGGATGGGATGCTTCTTTTCATCGGACGGCTGCCTGCGAAATATGCATTATCTGTCTCATATTTTACACATAAATAAATGCTAATACTATCGTAGCTAACGCTATGTCTACAGTACAATATAGAATAAAATACGGAGTTATATTCTACATTTGTTTTCAGATTTACAAAACTATGAAATCTCAACGTATTATAACAGAATAACATAATAATCTAGTATGTGTATGCATTATAAATATCTACTAAAGGCTTTACCTGCGAAGTAAAATGTAAATCGTAATATTTAATTGATTTTAATTTACACTGATAGCTTAATAAATCGTAATTCTAGATATAAATGCTTTCTAGTTAGAGCTTTAAATTTCAAGCTAGGATCTAAAATAAATAATTTTCGTACTCGTTAGTTTCGATTTATCGGTCTAAAAGGAAAGGTTATGTATCATGCTGATACCGTATAGTATTAGCGTGATGCTATCATGATATACGCTATTAACAGTAAATACAGATAATTCTTAGATAAAATAGCATCAAAAAGATAACCTTTGACATTGCAAGTCATTAAGTTTTAATGAAACCTAGCTTTCAATTCCTAATTAATTTACCTTCGATTAGCAGATTCATTGCATCGCGCAATTTAAAACCTGCCATGCGTTCTGGTTGACTGCAGTGGCCGATTAATGAAACGTCATGAAAATTGGCCAAGGCAAATATTTCACGTGCACCATCACTGTCGCACTTCAAACCTTGATGGAAAACTCTACACGGATAGTATGAATTATGGCAACGTTTCAAACCTAACTAATCTGCTTAAATATATTTCATTCTATATATATATGTACTTGATTATCAAGACAGCTGTATGATATGTCCTAGAAATTTTTAGTTTTAATGTCTGGATTAAATCTAGGGCTAGCATTAGAGCTCTATACTTTATAATATATTAAAATCAGTCATGCTTGTAATTCATTTAATTTCACTAGTAATTTAGTTACATTAGTATGCAAATCAAGTTGCCTCAAAGTGCCAATTTCTTTTGTAGGAATGATTTTTATGACATAAAATTTGTTTGCACTCTCCTATGTCTAGTATGGTACTTTTTTCCTTGTACCTCTATATATCTCGTATTAAGATTAATTATGCAATGTTCGCACAACCGCTAATCACTCCAAACTTTGAAGCAATTTCAATGTCCGTTACTCTTAGCTTTCGTGGTGAGTAAATACATTTGCTAACAGATCTTCATATAAAACTGATAATATTGTGATAGTCTGATCTCAGGACATCTTTGTCATTCTCACATTAATTTGAGATATAGAGCACATTGATACAAGTAAAAGTTCTAGTAATTGTAAAGATACTTAAATCATACAAGTTTTCCTGCCTAAATCATTCCTGTTTACGTGCATAACTGTTACAAAAAATGATGGCACATGTCTTTTCAAGCCACAATTTAGGCCTAGTATAAGATTATTGAAACTTGATTTATTGAAATATCGACAATAAGAGACTGTGAGCACGTGAATTATACTAGCCATCAGTAATGTCATTTTAAGATTTTTAATCGTTATCACATTCCATCATCGAACATATTCTACAAAGTGTTAAAACTAAAAGGTATTACCAGTTGTTACTCACAGTTGTTGCAATCCTGGTTTTAAAACAGAATGGACAGAAGAGGTAAGAGAATTGCATCGCACTTCGGTTGAGCGACAAGTGCAAGTTGCTGGACAGTTGTTCAGTTTCGTAAAAGTAGCATCACTAAATAGCATAGTGTAACTCAGAAATAATACTATATATAATATTTTAGTAGTCCATGATACTGAAGTACGAATCATCTTTGCTAAATTTAATGATTATTTAGTAACTTTTATTTAAAACCTACAATTGACGAGAACTGAAATATCAAGAATAAAGAAAGTCTGGGTCTTTTATAACTTTCTATATCAAGTGATGATATACCATGCATCACGAGCCAAAGCAATTGATGTGGTAGCCTTTTATTGCCAGTTTACAGTTAATAAAACTAAGGGCGTAACGTTGATATAATAAGGTAATAACGATTTATTTATTTAACTGTTATATTTCGACGAATGAAATCGATAGGATATGTGGGTATTTTATCTGAAATTAAATACGGGTGTGTCTTCTGACATTCCTGTATTGTCTAACGAATTGAAAAGAAATCATTAATATTTAATTAGAGATAGTAAATTTGAGCTAATGCTAAGCTATGTTTTTTATTTAAAGAATATATCTTGCTAAAAAATCATTGGCTACTTTTAGCAATAGATTAATCTCTTTAATTAACTTTACCATTTCTATGTATCAACCTTGACAGAACGATTACGATATTTATTATAGTGATACAAAGGTATGATCATGGTCTAGCAATTTCCCTTGATTTGGTCATTGTTATAGAGTGGAATAATTCGTTTATAAATTGATTATATCCTTTTTAGTGATTTTCTGAAGCTTTAGAATGAAGAACCAGACCAAGTCTACCGACAAAGACCGTTAGCTTTTGTGTAGCCAGTAGATTTCACGTAGTTTATTAGACTATACTATAGCTTAGCTATAAGTAATTAAAAATAAAAAATTACTTTCCTGTTATCGCACAGTATTAATTTACGTGCAATTTACACTCTCACATCAAAACTAAAACTCTAATATTTCAGATGTAGATAACTTATAACCTACACTACAATGTATCTTATAAATGGCTCAATATTTCAACTAGGACTAATCAGTATGAATATGAAATACTTTTAGTAGTATCATGTGAACTTTTATTTGTGTAGTAAGGCAAATACACTCCCACAAACATGCATAAAGTGAATAATCTAACGACATCTTTGTACAGTAATGTTATATAAAACTATCAACTGGGTTACGTATACGAGTATAGTTTAACTTTATTCATATACGCCCATATAGTAATGATTATTATCTACGCTTAGTAAGTTAAAAGAAAGGAGAAATATTTTATGTACATTCTTTACTTATTGCATGTGATAACTCTATGCTATACTGCATTATATCGCTATCACTGGTAAGCTGTGCAGCAAATTTACTTCAATATTTTATCAAAATGAAAGGAAAAAAAATTCGAAATCTATAAATAGGTATTTCATCTTGTTTTAGACGATGATATGAGGTCTAAAATCTAACCATACAGGGCTATCGAAATCCTGAGCAATATTGCGATGATAAATGATGACAAAATAAATTATTTAGTAATCATAACAATTCCTTTCTTGTATGTATTGTATACGCAGCTAACATTAACATCTTAACCAAGGTATTCCTAGCTAAAATCAAATATGATCGGCAATTCTTATATCGTTCAATGCGTAATACAGAGATAGTTTGATTCACTAGTCAGCTTCCGCCAAGACATAACTATAACAACTTATTACTCCATCTTCGATTTCGGTATTATGGCGTGTATCACTAAAAATATTACTTATTCATTACTAATTTGTTTCTAGTGATTGATGCTTACGGTCATCATCATCTATACCCTCTGTTTTTTTTTGGATTATATCATTTTACTCAAAGTAAAAGATTAGCTCCTGTTTCGGCAAAAATAAAATTTTAATAATCAATTCCATCTTGATATAGTAGGAAAAATCATTTATTTGTACATCAATGCTAGGGTACTTGCATGCTTAAAAACTTATCACACTACAGTTCGAATAAACCAAAGTCTTACGGTAAGAATCTGAATTTCTCGGAAATTCAATGTTACCGTAATTAAAAGACTATCTTCTCATTAGTATGTATTAGTAGTGTCTATCCAGTCTCCAGGGTAAGTAATAAAATAAAATTTCGAGTTTATAGCATTCTGTTGTATATGATTACAATAGATAATAATCAGACACAAGTAGATAGCCAGAGAACTAAAATCAATAAAATTATGCGAATGTATGTTATATATAGTTATATATCAAGAGAGAGAGAGAGAGTACTGAATACTTTTATAGGTGTAGCTTCAGTAAAGGAAGGATTATGGAATCGTGAACGCTCGCTTCAAAGCAAGAGGGTTCCACCAGTATTGCTATATGAGTCTAATGCCAAAGAAAGATATTAATAACGATATTAAAAATACGTATTCGCCTTCTATGGTATATAGTATGCTTGCAATAGTAGACACCATCGATCATCCTGCAAATATGATTAACATTTGAATTAGTAAGAAATGGCTAAGTTTATCTTTAAAATATTGCTGCTTATTATTCTATACGAGGCAGAGCTGACAAATTGGCTCCATTGTTTCTTCTATTTTACTGAAAGGTCTCGAAGGCAAGATAAAGCTGAAAGCAAAGGAGATGTCTTGTTATTATTAAATGCCGCAGGCATAAACGTCATCGATCAACCTTGATTTCTACGTCCAAATCTAATTGATAAGAAACATTTCGTAATATTCTTCAATGTTGTCACTTATCGTGAAGTTTTTCTCTAGTAAATAATGGACTACACCACTCTTTTATTTCACTGAATTGTGTCCAAGCGTGGATCGATGGACGATACTAGAAATTTGTTTACTTTTTTTGCTGCCGATATCAAGAGTGTAACTTACCCGCTTGTAAGAAACAACTAATGATTTCATTAGTATTACTGTCTATCATTCCATGCAAACTATAGCTCACAAACGAACAGTACATTCATTCTTTCATTCTATAGCATAGCATTATCATAGTCATTTGCTAATATCAATTAATGATGGCCATCAAGGGGTGCTACAAGTCCTGGAAATGTCGCAATTACCGATACTAAAGACACCAGTAGAAGTCGATTCATAATTAAAGTAGGATGCCTATGACTTATACGATATAAGCTAAACGGAGCTCTATTGACTGACTGAAAATAACTTAAGTGCCTTAGCTTAGTCTGCTTGCTTGATATTGGTTTGTGATGTAGAAAGGAAAAGCATATTGACACAAGTAGACCAATCAAGACTGTACTCTACATTTAATTAATTCTTATAGCCGAAACAATAGTACCAGTAATCGGATATCTCGGCATGAGCACAAAGTTACCGTAGTAACTCGAGAATTTTATACAACACAGTCTAATGATGGATTTCAATTTAGTGTGCAATGAGCCTCACGGGGTAACGTAGAAGAGATTGCAGAAGCTTTTGCTTTAGAGTAAATTATGAGACTGTCCTTTTGCACTTCCATTGGAATGCATGACCGTACAGGACAAATGGTCAGCTAGTAATCAATATCAAGCATAATTTACTAACCACACTCATCGATACTCCCTAAACGACTGTCATGAATGTGATGAACAGGATTAAAGCACCCAAATGAATATTGCACAGTAGCGATAGAATCGATAGTCAGTTCCTATGGTGGAATGACAGGGCAAGAGTGAAGGAGGAAAGGGAAGATTTGGCTCACTACTATTTCATTGAGTGGCCCCTGCGCTTGTTCACTGTACCATAGACTACTCGGAGCTCTGAATATGGCCAGGGACTACTACAAGAAAGAGAGAAGGGCTGTTAACGATTGATATAGCCAAAAATGTTATGGCTGACCATTTTGCTCAACAGTCGTTCTCTCTTTGCTTTGACGATATATTTTAGAGGTGAAGATCCAATGACTAACGTAAAGTCTATGCGATAGTCAATGCTATATAGTGTTTAATGTAAGCAATCGTGCCTATACAGTGTCCATCAGTCAGGTACATGCATTCATGTACGGTACACCGCTTTGGGCATATCGGATAAACGCTGCCACTTTCTTCTACTCTCCTTGAGATGGTATCCTTTTTGAGAGACACAGAAGAATTTGAAACCTAGCTATATAGATACACGGCTCAACGACTATTACATGAAAAGGAAATGTGATTTCTAGCAGTCCTATGCAAATAGACTAAGCCATCTTGGACAGAAATTTCCAAGAGGAAATTTACTGACGTAGTTCTATCCATGTTTCCACGCCATTCCACTGAACCGTGAGTGAACACTGAGCGAACAGTACCAGTCGTCCGGTCGTCCGTGCCGGGGGGGGGTGAAGCCTGAAAGGGAGAATGAGTCATATATAAAGTGAAGCAGTCCAGGTTGACACCCATCTGTTCAGTTGACTCTCTAAGCTGTGTCAGTGCAACGTTGCAACGCCCTTTGATCATGGCCACTGAAGTTAAGCTCACTGAAGATCAAGTCAATGATGCTCGAGAGCAGTTTACTGCGGTAAATTTAAACCTAATTTCAATAGCACTATCCTTACAACGAATCTACAATTGCTATTTGATTAGACGATCCTACTAGGAATGGATACAATTATTAAAGTGTAATTAACCTGCGTGCCTTGTTATCGTCTTCTCGTGTCTGTGTGTTGAAACGCGTCATTCAACAACTTGTCGTTCATGCTGTGTATGTAGCATAGTATAGTTGACGCACTTTTGATTGAACTTCACTGCATTACTGAAAAAATGGCGGCTGCATTTCAAAGAGTGAAAATGAATACTACAGTAGCGTTAAAATCATGGCTGAAATAGGAATAGAAGCAATGGCATAATGTACTGAATTTCTATCTTGCTGACTAGAAAGAATTAGAAAGGATGAGTAGCTATCGGGCAAGAGTAGTAGGTTGTACAACCATTTTTCATTGCTAAGTCGGACCTTTCTAGGGGAAAAAATTAGTTTTCTTCATGGATTTTTTTGTCACTGTATACAAGGTGGATAATGGTTAGTCAAAATGAGTAGAATTAGAAATAGATTTCGTGTCGAAAAATAGCCATAACAAGTTATTCTATAGACTACTTATTGCAGTCTTGTTCATGTTACCACCATAGACTAGATATCACTTGATGACTTGCGCATTTTCCAACCCACTTTCTCATCAAGATCATGAAACTTCATGGTCACTTTTCACTATTCCTTGAGCATTTTTTTCTTGTCACATTCTTAAATTCTAAGCTAGGATGATAATGTACATACATAGAATTGCCACACTATTATGGAATCAGCGACTTCACCAAGAAAAATCGCCATTCTACCGTTGATCGTTTTAGTCATCATGGAAAAACGTTCAATAGTACTGTACAGTACTATATTATCGTTGTCACCAAAAACATGATTGTATTTGAAGACATCATTTGCATAACCATAATGGCTAATTGTCTCTATTCTAAGTCAGCAAATCTCAGTCCTAAAAGATGTCAAGAAATATCCTGCCAACATTTCCACTAGACAATAATTCTTCTTTTTTTTTGGCCTATATTTAGTTCGACCAAGATGGAAATGGCCATATCACGGTCAAAGAATTGAGTAATGTTATGAAAGCTTGTGGTAAGCCTACGCCTGGTTACAAATTGCGTGAAATGATCGAATCGATTGACAAAGATGAGAATGGCACAATCGAATTTGATGAATTTGTACAGGTAAGATTGTGTAGCACTATACTCATTTTATTCTTACCATTTTTTTTTTAAAACCTTAACCACAACATTTTTTGCTGATGCCTACCAGTGATATGGTGACATCATCATCATCGTAATTTCCTCTCATCCCCACCGCGGATAATGACTTTTTTTTGTATATTATCCTGTCCAGTAGAATGGACACAAGCATGTGCTCTTTTAGTACAGTCATTGCCCGTTCAATGAAAGCTTTCTCTCTCTCACCATCATCAGCAACATTAATTAGGAATGGCCAATGAGTAATTGTTGTTTCAGTCAACAGAAATATCAAAGTTTAATCGATGCAATTGATTGATCGAAATCTTATATCAAATTGCTGATAAACTTGAATAGCTTTACTTATCTTGCAAGGACGCTCTTAGTACTCTATGGTGTATTTTCCATTTTTTAGACACTACTAATATCGACAGCTTATCAATACATCATCATTCATCATATCTATACCATAGTACAGTAATGGCTAACATTGCCCAGTAGCTTTTTTATTGATGAAATTTGTTCTACATGATTGTGCTTGTATCTCTCCCGTATTGAAACATAGAAATGTCTATATTTAAACTGTTATCGATTTATTTTTCTTACCACCCATTTACACCGCCTTCGTAAATCCTAAGTCACCCCCTATTTATACTGCTAGCAGACTTAATTAAATTAACTTAAACTTTTAAGTACATGTTTACTTATCGTGTCTTATATGGATTACTGTGTCTAAGTAATATGTAAATCGAGCTTGGGACGATGATGATTGCCAATCATCGGAACTAGTAAACCAATGCTGTATGCATTGGTAGTTATTTACATTTTAAATCGACGATTTCACGGCTATACTTTAGAAATACTATCATGACGGCAATGTTGATACCAAATGATGGAAATTGATCAGTCTCATCTTTTCACTAACGGTATCAGTAGAATAATCATAAATGAATCGATTCTATCAAAGGATTAAGCTTCATTTAAAAGTTCAAATTTTTCTAAGAAAAGATCAGATAACAATTACCTCGTTATGATCTATTCGAAGCTTTAACATCTTTTCCTACATGCTGTTCCTCAATTTATATTAGTTATTTACCAAAGTATTGGAAGGCGAAGCTGCTAAAGATTTCCGAAAGGCGGTTGAAACGCGTAAGAATGTTAAGAAATTAACTGGTAGCAGTGCAACTACTGCCGATGGTACAACTCATTCTTTCTCCGATGAAGAATATATTGCCTTTGTTGATTGGATTAACACATCATTGAATAAGGATGATTACTTGGTTAGAAATAATTATTTACCAGTAAATCACGAGCCCGAAAATCATGAATTATTTGAGCGTTGCGAGGACGGTATTCTCTTGTGGTAAGTAGTCTGTGCATTGACAGCACTGGCAAAAAACTTTGCCATAGCTTTCTGCAACATTAGTCAACAGTCAAGAATTGCTTTCTAGTCCAATTCTTTCATAATTTCAAGTTAGTTCCTTTTCGACATCAACAAAAACATTGCTTTAAAAGATTTTGTTAACGTAAACTCATGGTTTAAGTTGCATCCCCGATATTTCAACTTCATAGTAAAGATCAAAAAATTAGATGGCATGGCAGTACAATAAGGAGCAGTTTTTGATAATTAAAGCAACTTTTCATATTGAATTGATAGCTTCCCTACTCTACTGTGAAGCGCAAATGAACACTAGCCCCAGACGGAATGCATCGAAATCGTTATAATGCATATGCAGAGACGTTTCAGCGAAGTATACAACGAGTTCGATGCATTCTGTCTAGTGCTAATCAACACCTCATTGTCACGGAGATACAGAAAGTTATTAACTGTACTAAAAGAGAATCCCATAGTCCATTTGTAATCGACAGTAATTCTTAATTTTTAACTTTGAAACTAATCCATTTGAATATATTAATATCTTACTTTACAAACGACTATAAAACGATTGAATCTCATTGAATGAGTAAAGTAGCTGAATCAAGTAAGTCAGCGATACGCTTATTTTTTAATTCAAATTCAATTAGTCAATCTCGATTGGTATTCGCTGTCAGTAATTCATTTTTGCCCTTCCATATTGTCTGGTACCCCATATGTCTGTCTTTGAACAGTGATTTAGAGGATAACCTTTTCAACTGTGCCGATCATGATTACTGTATACAGATATTTAATATAGTATTGTTTAATCATGGGAAACAAAAGATTAATCGTTGTTATTGCAAAAAGAATCGTGAATTCACAATATGTTAAAGAATTGAATTTAAGAGTGACGGATAGGATTGGTAGTAACTATATTATCAGTCCTAAAATATTATTAGTGAATTACAGAAGTGTATAAGGCAGTAAAATTTTTAGTAACTGAAGATCTTCAAATGATCATTTGCGGATATGTGGTATACTGGTAGATATACACTTGTACAGTAGCATACATACGGACTACTTGTATACACCGAGTTAGAATAACCAGTTATTTTTAAACAGAAAATGCAGTTATTGTAGTTAACTTTCCTGTTTATTTAGAATTCAATACCTCGGGACTAAAAATAGACATACGTTATTCTTGATTGACGTTCCCATGCAATAAAATCGATTTCAGTTTAAGCGTGGAAAGAAAGGTTAAACATTGCTTTTATACCATCGATTGTATTATTCACTATCTCTTTCGACTTGCTATAGCCTGAAATTGTTAACGCCAGTGTAATATATTCTATATAGCTGGATGTAAACAATCTGGATCAGACTGCGACATTGGTCGAGATTAAATTCGAATGATTATTTTACGCTCATACATTGAACGATTCTATGAACGATATTATTCTAGTTTACCATAGTATTCTTGATGTACCAACTTCCGGCAGAGTTGCAGCGACTGTATTTTGCACCGCAACTAATTAAATCATGGTAAATACAAGTATATAGGAGTCCTGACTCCCAACTCGCAATAACGGCTTATACTAGATATTTGAAATAGATATTATGATGATATAATCAGTGAGGCACGCATCATCGTCGCGGTAGTCATGCTGCACAGTCATGGAAATTCACTATGAGTTCGAATGAAAGAAAACGATTGCTGTCTTAGAAATCTTATATAATTTGTCTTAGCGTAACCTTGCAGTTTATCAATTGAGCCATTGGGACAATGTAGAAATACCCCATTGACAGTTGCACTTTTTTATTATTACCTAATCGGGCATGACTTAATCTTTATCAATGTTGGGTAGCTTTTTCGTTAACCTACTGTGTTGCTAGACAATTTTCAATTGCCAATTCTTTTCTTGCTATGTTTTAGCGAAATGTAAGAATCAATACAAAACTTTGCAAAGTTATAGTCGTTTAACCGTACTTAACGTCAGATCTCATTTTAATTATCTTCAATCATTCCCTTGATCTTAATACTTTTATAGATTTCTCAAGTATGTTGCATTTATGCTGTTTATCTTAAAATTTTTATAGCAAAATGATCAACCGATCTGTTAAAGATACCGTTGATGAACGTGCCATCAATTTCAAGAAGTTAAATCTTTATCGTAAGCACGCCAACCAAACGTTGGTTGTCAATAGTGCACGAGCCATCGGCTGTAACATCATCAATATTGGAGCAGAAGATCTCATTGCAGGTCGTGAGCATTTAGTCATGGGCCTCTTGTGGCAAATCATTAGGGTTCGTAGCATTGCCTAATTCCTAAACCATTAAGTAATTGATCTATTTCCATTGCATTTATCATTGGATCTAGTTCATTACTCAACTGATAAACGCTCGAAGGATTGGACAAAGTAATATGAGCTAATATAGCATTCTTATATTATAGATTGGTTTGTTTGCTAAAATTACTTTAAAAGATTGTCCTGGACTACCTCGCCTTTTACTTGAAAATGAAACTGTACAAGACTTGTTGAAGCTATCACCTGAGGAATTACTCTTGCGTTGGTTCAACCATCACCTTGAAGCAGCTGGTGTATCAAGACGTGTTAAAAATTTTAGCGGTGACATTAAAGTAAGACGCTTTAAATTATGTTGATCTAGTAGAAAACCTATTGATAATTAATCGTTATTTTTATTTTAGGACTCTGAGTGTTACATCATCTTGCTGAAGCAAATTGCTCCTTCTAAGCTTATGCTTACAACCGATGCATTAAAGGTAATGATTTTCTTTAACGATAGCCTTCTATTACATATTCGTGTTTGTGTCTATCTTTTGCAAGCATTATATCAACATTATCTTGGTTTGAATTGCATTTACCATGTTGCAAGCAATTTCAGCTTCATTGACTTTTTGCTGTGTAGGAGTCAAATTTACGTGAGCGTGCAGAGCTTATGTTGAATGATGCTGAGAAAATTGGTTGTCGTCAATTTGTTAGCGCGAAAGTATGCCAAGAAATTTCGTTTACTATGTAATTGATATGCTGTACTCATAAAGGAAATATTAAAATATGCAATCTCATATGACCAACTTAGGACGTTACTACTGGACATGCTAGATTGAATATGGCGTTTGTAGCCAACTTATTCAATACATTTCCTGCTCTCGAGCCAGTTGATGTTGATGAAGATTTGGATGTTTACGTTGAAACCAGAGAGGAGAAAAGTATTTACAGCATGCAGTCGATACATTGTGTTGACTTCATTGACTGAATGTATTGTACAACTATTCTCAGCTTTTAGGAATTGGATGAATAGTTTAGGTGTCGATCCCACAGTTAACAATTTATTCAGTGATTTGGACGATGCAATGCAATTGTTTCAGGTAAATATAGTTTCAAAATTTGGTACTACATAATAACAATACTAATTCATCTATTGTACGTTTTACGGCACTTATAATGTAGCTTTTTGATAAGATCAAGCCTGGCGTAGTATCTTGGTCTAGAGTAAACAAACCACCTTTTAAGGCTTTAGGTGGTAAAATGAAGCGAATTGAGAACTGTAACTATGCTGTGGAACTTGGATTGCAACTTAAATTTAGTTTAGTAGGCATTGGTGGCGAAGATATCCATAATGGAACAAGAACTTTGACTTTAGGTACTTGTATTTGCTCGTATCATTATTGTAAACCTTAGAATAATTGTTTTCTTAATCATAAAATTTAGTTTTACTCGATAGGTGTGATTAACTTTTGAATGCATTTGTTATACGTTTAGCCCTGATTTGGCAAATGATGCGTGCCTATACTCTAACAATCCTTACTAGCTTAGCCAACAGTGAAAAACCTATCAGTGACAAGGAGATAGTGGAATGGGTTAACAACGTTTTAGAAGGCACTGAAAAATCGACGAAAATTTCTAGTTTTAAAGACCCAGAAATTTCAAGTAGTAAAGCTGTTATAGACTTAGTCGAATCCATTGAGCCGGAATCAATCAACTACGAAAATGTTTGTCTGGGCATAACAGAGGAAGCGAAACTATTAAATGCTAAGTATGCTATCTCTATGGCGAGGAAAATTGGCGCATCTGTCTACGCTTTGCCTGAAGATTTGGTGGAGGTCAAACCCAAGATGGTTATGACGGTCTTCGCCTGCCTTATGGCTGCTGCCTTAGATGAAAATAGGAAAGTTGCTACCGGTGATGATGAAACGAGTGATCCAGCAGCGACTATTCGTGAAGTACAAGCCAACATGGAGTAGATGCGGGCTTGCAAGAAAGTAGTGGATTCTAATAAGCATTCTCTTGCTAACTATGCGATAGCCCGTATGCTTAGATTACATTGTTATAACTTAGACATAAATTATATCAACAATGATCAGTTATGGAACTTGATATTGTATTAGTGTTACGTTTATGTAGGTTTGACGACCGTTACTGGTGCTACATTAACTACACAGTATCCAATTTCTTATTGGTATAGATATGCGAATTCTAGATATTAAATTGTACCTTAATTCTTAATTCGTACCGTAATATAGTCGATAGAGTAGCTCATAATATAGAAGATTTTCACAATGTTCACTATTTGTTAAAAAGCATATAAAATAATCGTTATCCGGTTTGTATTAGTTTAATCATTAGGAAGTTGAGCGACAACATTTTGCACGAAAGCGATAGTAATTAGACTGCCTATACACTAAGTAGGACATATACTTCGCAATCGATTTACATAAAATTAAATATTACATTTCACTGCACCTCTATTTAGGTTTTTGACCATGAGGCATTTACAGTGTTTAGTTATAAATTAACCTGAATTATTTGGTTTTTAATAACATTACATGATAATGTTTCTGTCTGTATGATGTGCCAATTACGAAGTAGTTACCATTTTGGCGAATAAAATTTCATTTATACAACGTCCAATGTTCAGTATTTCTTGTAACTGCCTTTAAGAACTTCGCTTCTGCTACATGACGATATCATTAAAGTCTGCTTGTGTGGCCGACTAGAATATTCACAGAGAATTTTTTGCATAGTGTATCTAAGATCGAGCTGGCGATAGTTAGCTATAAAATCAATCGTAGTATTTTGTGTGCTACCTACCTGCCGTGGCTTTCATAAGCCAAAGTTGTCCGACAGCTGAATCATTCTGATAAGAGAGCATTTTTAAATCTGAAATATCTAAGGAGACAGATTTAGCAATCGTTAATAGATTTCTACATTTTATAATATACCTCTGAAAAGAAAGTTTAAAGAATAGGTCAGGGATCTAAATAAAATCTAAATCCTAATTATGTTGATTTGTTACAAATACTGTACAGTAAGTACAGTCCATGTACGTATGCCCATGGTAACACATAGAAACATTATTGAAGCTATGATCTCACCTTTACTTTGATTATACTTCACAATCTGAGGATATATTCTTGTAACGGGAATGCAGAAACTAATATACGTATAGATGCCACCTGAATTGACGTTTCTGAATAAATCATAGCAATAAGTTCTTGAAGGCATTAGCAACAATGTTATTATGATGGTAAACCATCTTCCGAGTAACTATGTATTGTTTACGTTCACTTACTTCACTTTGCTAACGGTAATACCTAAAAGTTCTCCGGTATTTTTGCTAATGAGAGCTCCACCACTAGTTCCACATTGTATTGCTGCGGATGTCTAAATGAGTTAAAGAATAAATTAGATACAAAATATAGAACGAAAATTAGTTGGCAATTTTGCAAAGTCGATACTCTAATCATCTGGTATAAGGTTAAGTTATACATTTGCATGAAGTGAATCGATCCTTCGACAGACAAGACGTATAATTACCTGGATTAACATTGGTTTATTATTGATTCGACAAATGCTGGCTATACTACCTCTAGTAACTGTAGGTTCATTGGCTTCGTAGGTATGCGGAGGAAACATGCCATAACCAATAATTAGAATATCACTACCAGTACTGATAGCAGAATCACTTTTGCATAGTGATATAGAAGATAGTTGACTAGGAAGAAAATCTAATATTTTAATAACAGCAACGTCCAAGACTTGGCAGTGTTGTTTAGGATAGAGAACTACTGCATTATACCAACGTTTAATTGGTTTTGTCGTCAGAACACGAACTATTGAACAATAATAAATAATACGCGTATGAAAACATGAGACCAAGCATAAGAACTTAACTGTTGCCATGGATCAATTTAAATGGGTAATTTATTAAAATAAATGCAAGCTGGTGTTGATACTATAGATAAACTTTGAATAACCTTTGCGATCGCTTTCGCCATGGTTACAATCATCATCAGAATTGGAATTGCATGGGTGGACAACATGGCTGCAGGTGATAATTAGTCCTTTGTAACGGTCAATAACTACTCCAGATCCCCAAGAGGATAAAGATTGGATATAAACAACTGCAGATGACACCTTATCAAAAAAGGAAATATCACTGTTGGGTGTTAAATTGCTACGAGTTGAATTGGGTAATTTTAATGCCATAAAATCATGCACCAAAGGATGATGCTTTGACGGTAGTGATGTTAGGATAAGATCAATGGGTACTACTAATGTAAAGCCTGTCCATTCGGTGTCTTTAAAGCAAAATGGCGACATAACAACGCCAACAAGAGAAGCCCTAAAGTAATATGGAAAAGATTACAAATGATGCAATGTGGGCCAATTCGATTATAATAGCAAACTACTTTACATTTAATATCCACTACTACATACTAAGCTGATTCAAAAATTTGATTATAGTGCACTACAGTATATGTGGAACTAATGAAATACTCTTACGTCTATGATCTGATACTTTCATAATAATGTTTAAGTACAAATGAATTTAGTAATGTGTTTATTTAATCGCACGATACTATGCAATAGAATTAAGACAACAAGCATTCATACTATAGTTCCTATTACAACTTACTTGGATTGACCAGCTAATTTGCAAACTACTGCTCCACCTTCACTTCCAGCTAAGCATCGAGCATCAGTTAGAAAGAGTTGATTTTTTTTGCCGCAAATGTTGGAAATTATGCCTTTAGTTGAGCTATTGTAAAATATCAAAGGATAGCTATCTCCAAAAGGTGTGGAAATGACTTCTACAACATCACCACGTTTCAATAATCGTCTATCGGCCATTTCAATTGGATCACTAAGTGAAGGAAGTGAGCATAAAATGAATTAGAATTTTACATCCATTATTTCATATCAATTGCCATTCTTATTACGGAAGCTAATATATTCATTTAAAGAGTATAGATGGAAGAACAACGATTGGAATACGTTAATCACCAATGTTGCAGACATGTACAGTAATGCTACTGATATTAGTAAATCGATTACCTATTTAAAAACTTTTTATTAGTATCAGTAATCTGTAAGAGGAGAAATTGGGTTATTACAGAAGGATCACTTTTCTGATTAGAATGATTCTCTTCAGCTAACGGATTTGTATTTGCAGCTTTGGTTCCATCATCCATATTATCCCATTGCTTTTCAGGAGGAATAGTAAACGACCAGCGATGACTGGGCATGCTATTATCTAATACTTCTTGCACCTGGCGACAATACCATCGACTACGAAGTTGGCATTTAAGGGCCATGAATGATGAAGATTTGCTATGATTGTTTTCTAATTTAACTATAATTTCAAATTTCAACGTTTTAGCTAACTGATCAACAGTGGCAAGACTTTGCCGATCAGCAGCGTTTGTATCGATTAGACACGAGAGTAAGGAGCCACTCGTCAACACTAATCCACGTTCAAAATCAATGACTACCCCACTGCAACTCCTGACATTTTGATAGCTCTCTATACATCGTACCACAACTGCGAAATTGGATAACATTCTTGAGTTGAAGAAGATTAAACTTCACTATTCACTTTTCCCAACTCAAACTTGAAACCTGTATGGAAGAATAATTCTTTGCAACTTATATTGCATTGGCTACTTGAGCGTGCTTTGGAATCTGGACTACGGACTCTAGTGTTTACACTAGATTGGCTGTTTATACTCAATTGTATATTACCATTTTATGGAGAGACACGATGAAGACTGTAACTGATGAGAGATCTCATACTGCGACCCAAGATCATGGCCGATACTTAAGCAAGTACCTTGCGCTATAAGAGATCCTTTATACTGCAAAGTGCTCACGCCTATTCCATATGTATTATATTTTTATACTCCGTGAACATTAGCAACTCAATCACTGCATACAATTTAAATAAATAATAATGATATAGTACCTAATATTTAAAGGAAACGAATGTTAAAAATATGATCCTCGTAAATTCCAATAAAATTTCCTTACTGAAGTACTAGCTATGGTGTAGAAGGAGTTTATATAATTTTCCCAAAAATGAATTGTAATGTACATATAACAACCATCCATGTCCAATATTAATTACTAATACAATGCCGTATTGGTAATAATTCGCTTAGAGATGCTCTATAGTTGTAGCAGCTTCTTGATTTACTTAGAGTTTCATCTAGGCTTAAAGTATCTGATGTTAGGTTGTACGGTCAAAATGAGAGAAAATGAGGTAAGTTTCGTAGTGATTACGATGGATAGTATGTCCAGATTTTCCATTCCAAATGACATTACCTTGTACTCGCCTACTAGTGCATTGTACGGAATTTAGGAACTACAACAAGCTTCTGGCGATGTCTGCTCTTCTTATTCCATTTTATATACCTACTCTGTCCACCCATAGAAACTGATTTAGGTGTTATGACGGTGACATAGACCACTATGAGTTCATTTTATTAATGTAATACAATGATAATTATATTTAGCTTACAAAATATTTTGTCACAATAATTATTCCTTGACAAGGTGTACAAGTAATCGCAGAATTGGACAGTCAAGTTAGAACACTAATAGATGAAATGAAAATAAATAATGAAACAATATAGTTAACAAAAACATTTTACAAATCATTACATTAGGATTAATTTATCAAATGTCTTACATACAGTATAATTTGACAACAACTATCGCGATGCCTCAGCTGCTTTGCATGCAAGCATCATACACGTTCATACCAAGCTATTTCCAAGCACCACTACAAATTAATTTTGAATGCACTTAGACAGTATATTGTAATTATTAGTAGATGTTTCTTTCGGGTGTTGTACTTTTTCTTATTTTACATAATCATCTACCTAAAGGTAACGCACATCATTAACACATGTACTGTGAACTTTACAATTAGATGTAAGGTGCAGTGTTACAGTCAAGAATTCTCTAAAGATTTACTGTTATATAGCTGTACTTTTATCGCATTGGACAATTTGGAAATTATACTAACCGTATCTTATAATAATGTTATATTTACAACGCTATTTCTTCAATAGGTCAAATATATCAACATTCGAAAAGTAATTTAAGTTGTTACAGCTTAAAGTTTGAGTTACAAAAATTGAAAGTTAAGCTGTGTAACATACTAAAGCTTAAATTTCAAGTCATTGAGCATCAGTGCCGTAAAATTTTCAATGGCTATAAAGTTTTATAACACCTCCAGCATGTACCTACTTTTTAAAGTAAATATATTATAATTAACAGTATAGGTATCGGATAATAATCTGATACAATAATTTTCTAATTCGCAGATAAACACCAGCAGATAATGGTGCTATAACTTAAACCATGATCCACCACAAATACACTTCGCAATCCATCTACTATTCCAATTGTAGTTATCGTCAATGGAAGAATTCATAGTTATCATGCTTAAGCCACCGCACCTAAATTATAATCCAACATTCATATCCATATAAATTGAATTACGTTATTTACCGTATCTTTAATTCAAATTTAATAAAGAAAAACATAAATAAAGTAAGGAGATGGATATTGCAATAACGTCAGAAGTATATAGATTATTTTTGCATACCTGACACACTGCCTTAAGTTCTCGTTATAAAATGGATTGATTGCCATCAATCTGATAACATCATAGCGCATGTTAGGTTCAGTGGATGGATTTTCTCCAAAACGGAAGAAAGCGATATTTGGACCCAAAAGTAACCTATCAGCTGCAAAATTATTTACAGTAGGTCAACTAACTTACGCGAAGTATGACCATATAATCGATGTCATTAATCACTTACAAATACATAAGAAAGCTCCTCTAGTGTCCATAAGTGACTGCAATGATGGCAGTTGATCCTTATCTACGTTGTCAATAACGTTGATATTATAGTTATATAAAGTTAGTTACATGCGCAATTTATATAAGAAAAATGAAATTACTCACACGATAGTCTTTACCTGATAAATATTGGATGATACTATCCAACTTGTTATCATTCTTGTAACACATCCAGACTTTGGTTAATATTCGATAAATTGTAGATAAACTTGGCACCGGATCTATTATACAAATAGTTATTAAGAGTTATCACTTCAAGAATAAATGACTAATAGATATAACATTTATTTAAAAATTATTCTATACCTGATTGAGGATAAAATCGTGGATAAAAGGCCGCATTCCCCTGTCCCCAGGTACTTACTAGTAATAGCAACATGCGCAAGTTGCGCACGACTTCCATGTCTGTTACTCCATAAGCCTACGGTGACATCGAACGATTTTATACTGAGCAATGGCGTAGAAAATTATGATATATGTTGAGAGCATTTTTGCTAACCTCCTGTATAATTTCCCGTGCGGATACGGTAGCAGCTAATAATAAAGCGTAGTTTCCAATCCAATCAATCATTGCTCGGACGTGATGGATAACGCCTGTGGAAGCGAAGAGAAATTTTATTAATCTTATCTATTCCAGCAACTGTGCAATATGTAAGCCATACCAGGATTAAGTACATATTCGGTAGCTTCTAATCGTGACACTGTAGCTGCTAAATTTCCATCAGTGTCACTGTTGCAAGCGTCTAAACATAGTAATGTTATTTCAATGTATTAGTAAGTCATATTCAAGTATAAATATATCATCATTTCTTGTAAAATTTTCTGAACACACCTTCTAGTTTTAAGATAGGGTTACTTTCAGTATTCTTAGACTGGTACTTATGCAGTATTTCGAAGTGTAAAAATTTGCATATACAGTATAAAATTATACGACATCGTTGATCGACGAAACGGCCATGTTCATCCGATCCATAGCTAGATGTATACAGATAGTAATCAAAAATATGTACAGGCTTAATTAACTACAAATAATCAGTACCAGGCGTCGGTTCTAAACTTACCGGTATAGTGCTGCACACATTACTGCAAAACGCAACTGAAGTGATTCTCGAAGTGGCTGAGCTTGCTTAGAAAGATCATTCTTGATATAAGCTATCATTTTGGATACTACATCTATGAAGGGAACCAATATTAATGAAGAGATAACACGAATCCTTAACAAACGCTAGGATAATACTTACCAATGCTAGGACCAAAGGTTGCAGAAATAGAATGTAAGATATCCCAATACTCTATACCAGTAGTAAGACAGTATTCTAACAATGTGACATAGCAGCTAAAGCATTCACTACCTATAAGTATACAAATTTTAAAGTTATTAATACCTTTAAGGATTAAGTAAATGCAGTTACGCTAACGTATCTTACCTGAATTGTCAAACGAAGACGACAAGCGAATTCTGCAAATTGCAACGTCTCCTCTACCATTTATTACAGCAGTACACAAACCACAGGGAGAGAAACTGATACTTTTTACAGTTCGGTCAGATCCTACAATAGAACACATGACACAAACGATACATTAAAATAGCCTTCTCGTTTAGCAACTACAAGCTCTTTGTGAAAATGATTATAATTAAGGAATTCTAATAAACTACCGAATGCCCAATCCAAAGGATCATCAACAGCTCCAAATGGGGTATTACAACACGCTGCAATACTTAAAGAGCTTCTATTGAATTTATACAGGAAACAATGACACATACAATCAGAGCACATGAAAAGACGAAATAAATACTAGAAATTTTCTAACGCACCGATTCAGTAAAATCAAGTTTCCTTTCTGACAAGCCAACATTATATGCGAGTTAGCGTTCTTACTATAATCTGCGTCACCGGATGAGGGAGCAATTGGAAATGTAGAAAATGAAAAGCAGCTAACTTTTTCACCGCAAGGATATATAGCAGCGCAGGACCAGATCTTGTTGAGATAAAAATGTTTTACCGTATCACCTACCACTCTTGGAAATTTAAATTTAGTACATAACAAATGAAAGTATTTTTACCTCCTCGACTGGAATATCACGTTCAGCAAGGTTAGGGTTATTAAATGCGCTGTGGATTAATACTGGTTCCGTAGTTAAGGTAAATAACTGTATGGTACTTTGCGAATAGCCTGATGATAAAACCAGTAGAGCAGGCGCTGATTTTGCATCTTGCGGTAGAAATCTGACTTGGTCTACGAAAGAATCTGTAGTACCAAATTTAAAAATTATAAATGCAACCATTGAATAGTTCGTTATATAATCACTGCATACGTAAGAAAGTAAGAGCAATGAAAAAATTTCTTATAAACCGTCAACCTTTTGGGATTGCATTTCTTTCTTCATCAGAATCAGTATTGATACAAGCTTTTAATTCTGCACTCAACTGAATAGGCCGTAAGTAGTGATTAAGGAAATATATATTTAAGTAACGCATTATCACCAACATAGTTCTGCAATATATGATACGGCTTCGTATTTAAAATGGATTAATTAAAAGTAATAGCATCGAAATAAAAGGATATTATCCGGATTGTCTGAGTCTAACTGAGCTTTTATACAAAATATTTGCACTGGATCGCCCTTACGACCACTGCTGGTTGCAGCAAGGAATGTAGAATCTGTAGTATGATAAATTCACGATAGCAACATTTGGTAAATTGGACAAATAAATCGTTGCGTTTATAGTATCACCGTTTTAGTAGTAAATAGTGTCTCTACAATATAACATTCTAGAATTAAACTTACCCTGATAATTATACGTTACATCAGCACTGCTAATACAAAGACGATAGCCACTAGGTAAATCTAGTCGGAGTTTACCTCTAGTAACTGGATCAAGCACTGTGACGTAAATCTAGTAAATTTGTTAGGTCACAATTAAATCATTTTTAGGATGAATCGATGCAAATACGGCCAGCCATGCAAAACTTATAGCAACGACAGTATCGATTACTACTGTAAAACAATTGAATAGAAAAAGAAGGATTCAAGAAAATTATATTTAAGAAAAAAAACATTTTTTACCATTCCAGTTGCAGTAATTGCAATCCAGGCTTGCGTTGGACGACCTCCATATCGGACGAATGGAGTCTTCTTAACTGCATACGGAAATTTCTCAAAAAAGGATTCTTTATCTTTACACTTGCTATCAATGTAATGCTCCTACATCATCAATGAACGATAATAAGCGATTAGATTTAACATCATACGGGTGGGGGCGTACTGTATAACACCGGCATAAGGCAAAAATCATAGACCGTAGCCGCTACCTGGATGTGTTTAATGATATTGCTGATAAAATTATTAGTATTACCTTAGCTGAGGTATCTAACCAGCGAACAGCTCGTACATGTTCACCTTCTCCAAGATCATTAGAGGAAGTACATTTCCACTGATTTATAAAGTTATCCTAAGCCATTTGGTATAACATATATGATATTAATCAATATCTGTCAGTAAAGGAAGACGTTTCTTCATAATTAATAGTTCACTTCTACAAGCACTTTTATCACAGGATCACAAGGTTTCCAATAATACTAATACTTGTAAAAACTATTCATCCGTTTCCTTACTTGCATTTGCCAAGTTTTAATTATTCCATTGCTATCAGCAGATAATAATCGAGTACCATGAGAATCCCAGGCAAGTTGAATTATCTCCGATACATGTTCAGAAACAAAGCTATCAAAGATAGAAAAAAATAGACGTTGCTATTCATTCGCATAGATCAAGCCAAGTGAAAGCAATGACCCATGTAGTATATTGGGAAATGAAGAAATGATTGAAAAAGGTCAATGACTACAAATTTAACTTATGGCATTCAATTTAATTCAAGTTTAACGCATATAGTAGAGTATATTCGATGTGATACTGCCTCTAGTTTAATAAGTAAATAATATCAATCAGCAACTAGTCATCACTAAGTACCGCATCTATACCTATGATTTCGCCAAGGTTCCTCCAGGTTAACCAAATGAATTGAAAAGGATGCGGGAAGACTAAAATTAGGGAGTTGATAAAATTGTCGAATTGAGACGACTATAGCATCTTCAATGTTAATATGCAATTGCAAAGTTTCCAATACTAATGGCTTTGATAATGACTAATTCCATCCTGTATGATATTATCGATTGCACCGGATGATGTAGTTGTACCTAAACCTTAGCATTCCTATGACCAACTAAAATATCTGGTAGAATAACAGATCAAAATTTAAGTTCTAATCCTACGGTAAGTTTATCTACGACCATAATCCAGCCAATAAGTGGAAGAATAGACCGATTTTTGCACTACTGTATATACAGTACAGTATATCAGGAACAAATTTCCAAATGACGACAGGCGTTTAGTTAAACTGTAGTCAGACTGGAAAAAGTAGATATTATCCTGTTACGTGTTCATCAGGTGCACTATAGGCAGCATGACGTTGTTGTTTTACCTTCTAGAGTCGGTTTTACAATATACCTCAATTAGGCGTATAAAGCTATAGCTTTAGCTCTATCCCAACCAACATGAGGTATGCTATACCAGACTAAAGAGATCGATATCACCATGAAAATACACTGATTTTATCGCTAGTCATGCTGTGCTATCATGCACATCATGATTCCACATTGCAAGGCACTAGATAACCATGGAGACAGCATGCCAAGAAGATGATTTGCAATGACTGTACTGTCTTCCATAGCACCGTTGTTATTGTATACTTGCAAAGCTGATTTGAATCTAATGTACTTTCAATACAACACCACTTAGCTAGCAGCATTAAAATAGCACATCAGCAAATATGAAAAGATTCGATGGTCTCCATTCCTTCTACTTTCATAGAAAGCCTATGAATAACTTGGCTGAAAAGGAAGGAATGAAGACGATTGACTCACTCGGAATTGATTGAATCTTCCAACTTGGACTTGCTGGAAGCAGAAAAGGCTAATAAATTACGATTGGACCAGCCACTAGACACTGTATGACGAGCTAGGCAGTTACTTCTGGTATGGATACCATTAGTAAGTCCATTTTCCTTTTCCTCTGGCCATATACAATAACATGATACGTTGACTTCCATTGCTATATCGGAGAAACGCTTTTGCCGCTTGCACTGGAATTCTTTGTGTGTCCTCCTCAGAGAGAGTTGGTCTTGTAATACGTCTAGTGTCCTGTACTTTACAGAAGTACTGTAATGTATCTGACTTACTATACTGTACTGTACGTCCGGCAGTCGGTGTTCCACACCGACAGAAAGCTTATGTCCGGTGAAATGGACGGGTGGACGGCTGGAAATACGGTAGGCCACTGGCAATAGTATCGAGTTGGGCTCGGATGGATGGACTCATGTACTCTATCTGACTTACTATACTGTGTTGTACAATGTACAGTACTGTACTGTACGTCCAGTAGTCGTTGTTCCACACCGACACAAAGCTTATGTCCGGTACCATGGACGGACGGACTACTGGAACTACGGTAGGCCACTGGCAATAGTATCGAGTTGGACTCGGATGGATGGACTCTTGTACTGTATTTGGCTTACTATACAGTACTGTACTGTACGTCCAGTAGTCGGTGTTCCACGCCGACAGAAAGCTTATGTCCGGTACCATGGACGGATGGACTACTGGAACTACGGTATCCCACTGGCAATAGTGTAGAGTTGGACTCGGATGGATGGACTCTTGATAGTCAATGCGGCCGAAAACATGGAAAAAGAATTCATTCTTCAGTATGGATCTTCCGTGTCTGTTTTCTAGATCATTCGTATCCATTTGAGTCATATTGATGATCTGAAGCTACTGCTTCCAAGCAGAACTTAGTAACAGGCGATAGAATAACAATGTCATATCACTTCATTTAGAAAAAATCAGTCAATTACGAATCGGCCATCTGCATACTTTAGTTCAAGTACTGTCATCATGAAGTGTTGGACACCATTTGTCGGCCAAAGTTGGCCAATGTCTGTCCGTCCAAGGAATTCCAGTCCAGGTAAAACGTACAGTATTCTTCTACTATGTACTGTACTGTACAGTACAGTATGAAGCAGTTCGAATTACAGTACTGTACAGTACTGTACACTGTAGTGTACAGTACGAAAGAGTCTTCGTTTTTTGATAGTACTACTGTACTAGTAACAAAAATTGATCTTAGGTATGGAAATAATATCGTACTATACTGTAAGTAGTGACATGATTTTTGCAACGTACAGTACAGTAGAAGAATACTGTCGAGATCTGAGACGTCCAGTACTGTACTGTAATAAGGCGTCACTGTCTAAAACTATGGTTATGTCCTATGACCATCCATCATGGCAAACAGTATTCTTCAATGCAATACGATAGATCATAAAGTGCTAGCAGAAATGATGTCACTCTGACGTGCCAGTCTCTTCTAGTCCATCCGACACTTATAAGCAGTGGAATACCACACGGTATCAGCCGCGAGCAGAAATAATGTCACTCTGACGAGTACGTGGTCATGGGTGATATGACACCGTCATCAAGTGCATGGACTATGGACTGTTACTTCACTTACTGGACCACTGGGTTCTGGATGTCAACTTTCAATTGAAGTCAAATTGGATTGGTTGCAAGTGAGTGAAGTGACACACTGCACCAAGGTGCAAGACCTGCCAAAGCTGCTGAGGTCTGCCGATCGGAAAATTGCTGTCTTCTAACTGAATATCTTTCCTACATATTTGTAGTCCATTAATATACTGTACATGAATAAAGATGATGGCGTCTAATGGATGGACAAAACAGTGGCTGATAGGCATAATCGTGGTTGGAACACTTGCCTTCTTACCCATGACCGTTGACGCTTTAGTAGAAGATTTATATTGCGGCTCGCAAAATTGCTACGACGGTAAGTTGATTCTTGAGAAATTCTTCTTCTTGAATATCCAGCCTAATCCAAACGGTATCTTGCGATCATACTTCTATGTATCTGTCTGCTGAAACTACTTGATCTGCAATCTTTCCTCCTAGTGATAATAGCATGATCGATAGATACTGTACTTCAATAAAGGTATTGCAAGATCGAATGGAAAGGATGATGGAGTATGGGATTGCAGTTGAGACCTAGAACTCCAGTCTTTGTCATACTGTGTACAGCACTTGAACCACAATTGCCAGATATTGGACGTTAGTTATCATTCCTCCTATTGATAGGAGCATGATCGATAGATACATAGAAATTGTAGTTCGATGAAAATATTGCATGATCGGATGGAAAGGATAATAGAATGAATATTGGATTGCGGTTGAGAGCTGTAACTCCGTTCATACTGTGTACAACACTTAAACCATAATGGCCAGATATTGGATGTTAGTTATCTTTCTTCCTATTGATAGTAGCATGATCGATAGATACTGTAGTTCGATGAAAGTATTCCCAGATCGGATGGAAAGGATGATAGAATATTGGATTGCGGTTGAGAGCTGCAACTCTAGTCATACTGTGTACAGCGCTTGAACCGTAATTGCCAGATATTGGATGTTAGTTATCTTTCCTTCTATTGATAGTAGTATGATAGATAGACACTGTAGTTCGATAAAAGTATTGCAAGATTGGATGGAAAAGATGATAGAATATTGGATTGCGGTTGAGAGCTGTAACTCCGTTCTTACTGTGTACAGCACTTGAACCATAATTGCCAGATATTTGATGTTAGTTATACAAAAGTATGGTAAAGAATAGCATAAGTCATATATAAATCATATTCAAGAATACCATCGAAACAAAGAATGCGCTATTTCCATACATACTGCATGCAATTAATACGAAGTAACTTCCTACATGCATTGCTTGGTACTATACTATACATGTTAAAATGCTTGTGGGAAGGTTTAGAACAGGTTATATCGCCGTATTTGTAGAATACTCTACCACGCGTATCTCTGCCATAAATAGACACCATTTCCACGCATGGATTAATTAATTTAAGCAAGCAAACCAAGTCCCTACTTGCATTGCTCGACATGTCAAAACCAGCCACGAACGGTTTACGTCAAGCAGATCGTGGATACTATCCTAGTTATACATTTACTAAAACATTGAATATCCTAATCGATTGAATTAATTTGTTAATATATAGTTCTTGGAGTCAAACGGGGTGATGTCAAGGTAGGCCGTTTGCTTGGTTTAAGGCTTGATCGTTACAGTTCACAATCTGATAGCAATTCGTTCCTCTATGATAGGCAACTATTGCAAGAGCGTATCGACGTATGGCACGGAAATACCATCCTGATATTTATAAGGTGCAGTACTAATTAACGCTGTGCTGGTATGAAATTAAGCTTTGCTGCAATCAATACCAACGTATGGGTAATCGTACTGATAGTGTACAACTGTCAATAAAGTATGCTAAATGCCACTAAAATGGATAGAAACTGAATCTGGCTAGGCATAATGTCAAATAAAATATTAGAATCATAATAGTACTACCAGTAGTACTTATATAATGTTAGATAAATTAGATTACTATGGACTACTCTTTGTACAATCTATCCATGGACCATGGTTATCTGCTCATTTTCCATTTTCCATTTCAAGGGTAAAGACGCTGAACAAAAGTTTCGACTCATCGCTAAAGCTTATGAGGTATAACTTATTGTTTACACGAACCTAGGCTATCCTTTCTTCGGTAATAAAATTCAAATAGCGAGAGACTGATATTTCATTGCAAATTATTCTGCAGATATTAAAAGATGACGAAGAAAGGAATAACTATGATTACATGCTTGACAATCCAGGTTTGTGCAATGATAGATAATTAAAGATAGTTGATAACCATAGTAGAGCCATTGTCATGACCTATAAGTAAGCTGCCAAAAATACGTGCAAGAATGATATTTTATTACATCAATATTAAATTTGCCTAGTAATAATACATATCATTTTACTGTAAGACCTGGTATATCGTCACTACTACCGATACTACAAGAAGCGTGTATCTCCCAAGGTTGATATCAGAGTTGTGGTTATGGTCACAGTTACGGTAGTTTCACTGATACAGGTAACTAACTATGGGCACTTCTTCAATAAAGGACAATTTTTGGGTTTACTGACAAATCAATACTAATGATACATGCATACTTTAGTATCTTGCAGGACTAAATAGATATAATGACGCCATCAAGTACGCGCTAAGAGATCAAAGATATAGAAATCAGGTAAAGAACATTGATCGCGTAATATTGTCTAGAGAGCTTTAGTTCTCTGTCATCGACGTCTTAACAGCAAAAAAATATTTCCCTGATGTATTAGGCTATAGAAGTAGCTAAAAGTAAGGGCCTATGGAATACTTCAAAGAAAAAGGGCAAAAGGTCGAAGGTAATTTTTGCCTAATCTCTGCATGTATACTTGCCGTCTGTAGTGTACAAAAAGTGTATGCGATCGTAGAAATAGATTTATTAAGTGTTATTAATAAATACTTTGCTCTAACGTAGTTATATAATAAAAGTTCTAAATGATAATAATCACATGTCAGGAAGAGATCAGAGCAGAAGAAGAGCAAATTTTACGACAAGTCCTTGAAGAATCTTTAGACATAAGGTCGCCAGGCGTATAGTATTGTTTGAGAGCATATCTAGAGACTGTTTGTATTGATAGAGATGATGTAAAAACTAAATTTTTATTGGTAATCGTTATCTATAGAGGTGGCTACAAAAAACCTTCAGTATTCGATGTTTTATTTTTTCAGCTTTGTTTTAGGTAAATACATATGTTACTTTCCATTATGACCCTAATACATGTAACAAATTCAATTTGATCTGTTTTGGTGCTAAATTGATTGCTTTCATAGTCCTCTCTACATAGTTCAATACATCTTCTGGTACTTGCGTTGGCTTTGGAAATTTAACGTCAATAAAGAACCCTACGGACCAGAAGAACGAATTTACCTCACTAGAAAAAAGTTAGGTCTTTCTGCAACGAAATGGGAAGTAAGTAGACAGCGTATTCTTACTAATTCTATCAGTAATAAAGTTGATCATTAACCAAGTTATCCTATGGATTAAGTCTTTACCGGCAGAAAAGCAGTCAAATTTTGAGAGTAGAGAATTATGGATTGATGAAAATTTTAAGGTTTGAATATTTAGGACTACAATATTGATATTTAAGCAGCTTCAGGATGCAGTTTTATTACTCTATCCAGACATTCACGGCTGAAATGGAAGAAGACATGAGGGTCAAGAACGCAAGCAGTAACAAATACAAAATGTACAGGTGAGTATCCTTGGCTACTCAAATATGACAATTACTGCATACTGCGTTTTCTAATTCTATTCTAATTTACTTACCGCTTAATACCCTCTTTATAGGCGATACATGAAAAATCACAAGCCATCGGCTATGCAGATAGATTAATTGAAACTATGCTCCATTACGGGTACATCATCGTCAGCATTTTTAAATAGTACCTTTATAGCTTTCAACAAAGTTGGAAGACAATTTCCACATGAATTAAGTCTCAATTTGAGATAGTGCTTCAGTAGTTAAATCACATCCTAAATGCTCTTGAAATACCTGGCCACAAACTACTAGAAGATGTAGAGCTACTCTTTATGATACTGTTAACCGATTTACTAACTATTAGCAAAGACCCACTTTATAATCAAGCATGCATGATTGTAGCCTAGACTAGACTGACAATCAACTTCTTACCATTATAAATTCGTAACGTACGATGTACTTGTATGAAAGTATGTATGCGTAGGATAACTATTACTTGTATCCTGTCAAGCCATGCAAGACATCTTTTTAATATGATTCACTCCAATATTATCAATTAGCCGAAAAATTAACCTTGTACCACGTTCTCTACCAATAATCAAATTGAGTACGGTGAAGAATATCACTGCTTTGTACATATAGTGTACCCTATATTCCGAAAGCACAATACCAGTTACATTAGTAACAACATGATGGAAAAAAAATCTTATTCTAAAATATTCGAAAACTATTGCGAAAATTGTATGATAACGTCTTGGATATAAAATAAACAAATTGAGCTGTGTTGCAACGAAACATCATTAGTAAATCTTGTCGAAACATACTCATTTAATATTGCAATTTGGTTTGTAGAATGTATTAAATGCCTCTTATAAACTCTGTTAGCAATATTGTATCTTCGCTAAACGTATTTATTCGCCAGATCCTTCATATACTTTCTATATAGTTTTGTAAAAGTTGAAAATTTAATTGTAGCAAAGTTGAAATATAATTCATTGTGCGATGACTAATAGCATCATAATATACTCGTATCAAGTAAGCCAGCTACAAGACGTCAGACTTTCATGACCAAATATACCACCTATGAGTTTATTAGTGCCATTTACTAGTATCCCTACCCTTTACTGTTGAAGGTCATCGATATACAATAATAAGCTACGCTGCAGAGACATACTGTATAAGTAGCTAATGCTACCCATAGGATTCCATCATCTGTATCAACCTGGCGATAAATTACACTTTTCCATATCACTGTTTAATAGATATAGGTCTTATTCACTGCTAAATCAAGCCATAAACTACTAAAAGACCTTTTTTAGTAGTCCATCACCAAGAACTTCATTTTGGTAAGCTAGTTTGTAGGCAGTAGTCTCAGACTAGAAGGGTGCCGTCCGTATTTTCCGTCTGTAGACTTCGGTCTCCATGGCAATTTGGGGATTTTTTAACCGTAAAATAATTTGAACGTTATATTCTCCTTACTGCAGAAATATAATTCTACTACGCTGGATGTTGTTCTGTATAGCATGCAGTTTAATATTGGAATATCTTTGGCTTTCGGACAGACGTAGTAGGTGTGTACAAGACAAGAGGCTGCTTAGCCATCGATATTGATTAAGCCCCGATTGATAAGCTGCGGTTGGAAGAGAATACGAGTATAAGCATCATATAAGCAAAAGGTTGATTCGGTTTTCTTGATTTAGTTAAATTAAGAGGCACTAGTAGTATTCCACTTCTCAGCAATCAAATTGGAGTCTCAATTTTTAAGAATCGTCTGATAACCTATCAATCATTCATTTACCTACAGCGAATGTTGCCAAATAGAAACTGCAGAATTAACGTTTAAAGCTGCACGTAAACGTTGAAAATAATTTGATCCACCATTTCAGTGAGATATTCCCTATTAGATTGAAACCGATATCAGCAGTGAGGATAGCATTGCCTTACTTGATATTCAAGATTAGTTTTCAATGAGTCGATACAGAAGACAACCATCACCTATCAAAAATATCAATGATCATGCTGGATATCGACATTATGAAGACGATAAAGTCGAGGAGGGCTTCTACCGAGAAAGCGATCAAAATATACTTCAATCAAAATATAAGCCTTCGGTAAATACTAGCTACAATGATACCTCTAATAACAAAATAAGTAATTTACAAAGAAATAAATCTGTAAAGATTTCACCACGCCAAAGCTATGAAATAAATCAAAATGTAAGTCAATACGATGATGATAATTATAATGCCAGACATATTGTAACGAAGCCTGAACCTGGTACACCCCGAAGATATCATATGTGGGATATTAATGACGAAGATGATGATTCTCCTGTCACTCAATATGACCATAGAGCAATATATTCTAAGTATGGTGACGATAAGCATTTAACATCCAAGTTTGAATTAGAAGAACAACAAGATAGCAGGGAAAAGCCGGCTAAAATTCAATCTCTTAAAGGACAATCGAGCAAAAATACAAATAAGAAATTATACGCAGCGGTACAAGATCGCAGTGAAAGGGCAACGAAATCGAATTACTTACACCTTGAGAACTTGGAAAATAACGAAGACAGTGATTCAGATAAAATAACCACTTATCGATTTTCAAAATCCATTGAAAACATGATTGGCGATTTAAATATGGACCGCCTTGATCCTACACTACGAAATTTACTGGAAAACTATGCAGGTAGCCATAAATCAACCGATTTAAGTAAGAATTCGAATACTTTAAGCAGCAACGTAGCAGACCAACAACATCCATCTCATAACAGTGACGAGACATCAATCCAATTCGAAGAGTGGAAAGAAATTATTAAAAGTATTGAGAAAGAAAGAGAACGATTAGAGGTAAAAGTGGAACGAAAATTGAGCCCCAGATCTAAAAAAGGTAACCGTAAAGATGCTCATCTAATAAAGCAAAACCGGCAGTTATCTGAGTTTAATCTTGATCAAGACTATACCGACAATTCAAAAAATACAAGACAGAATATTAATCAAAGTAACCCAGTTGAATATCAACAACGCAAGCAAAGAAAGCTGACTGCTGCACGGCCAGAAAATAGAAATTATTTAACAGATGATAATGCTCTCCAAGTTGAAAATAGTATGGAGTTAAAACTAAATAGGAATAATGGTAAGCAAAACTTAATTAGCAATGTGTCAGATTCACAAGATATAATGCGCGAAGATAGAAGATCTAAATATAACGCCGTTAACAGACAAAGCTCTACAGCAGAGATTTTTGATGACTTGCCTACCGATTTGAAAGCAAGCTTGCAGCCAGTCCGTTCTCACTCTAGGGACAATCAAAATAGAAAAAAAAATGCTGAAACTCCGATTATAGATGGCACCATCTCAGAGGAAAATGAAACAATTAGAAGCAAAACAGCTACAACTTTGAACAATAAAAAATCAGACTTAAAAACTCCTAGAACACCAAGGAATGAAAAGGATTTGGATAGAATTAGGCAAAAAAGATTAGCCTATCTAGCCAAGAACGCAGCAAGAGCGGAGACAACTGTAAATAAAGCAGACTCAAAAGCTGCTGGTAAAAGTAATCAAAACAATAAAAAATCCAGCAAAACTAATGATAAAATGTCTTCGATTGGCCAAAGCTCTGAATCTCATGGAAGTTCCGAGTATAGGAAACCTTCTGAAAGTATCACTGCTCCAGTAAGTCGTTCGGTGTCAACAGCACCCCGTAATGATAACGTGGGAGTGCTTAATGTTGGAGTACCTAATACAACAAATCTTAAATATAGTCGAGACAATGAAATACCAGAATTGGAGTTAGAAGATAGTGAAAATTCGGATGAGAATGTTGCATTTATTACACATAGAGAATCAGAAACTAACTACAGCATTACAGCTAGGTCGCCTAAAGATTCGTTATTAACTTATGAGGGCGAGGATTCTGAGAACGGAATCAGTCATGATGAGGACTTAGATAATTTACAGCGATTTTCTTGGTCACATACGGATCCTATGACACAGCGAAGTCCAAGGAAGGAGAATCGGATCAATTACTCTACCCTTGCTAGCATATGGGGAATAGACGACGACAACAAAGTCAGTCATGATTTCAGTGATCCGATATCCACCATGAAGGATCAAACGAATATTGATTCAAGACAGAAAATTCAAAGTTTTTCTTCTGCCCTATCACCGAATAAAACTACTTCAAAGAAAGATTATTCTACCGTGACAGATAATAAACTGGCCATTAATGATCATAGTCAATCAGTAGCTACAGCAAGTACAAATAAGGATTATGACTCAGCTATAAAGAGTACAAAATTTTTTAAAGCATCGCCAAGTATATCGCCGACTCCCAGCCAGACAACAAATAAAGTGGTAAAAGTCTGCCCAACATGTCGCAGCCATTGTAATCATGATAGCATGTTTTGCATAGATTGTGGCACTACCATTATATCCGTTAGTCCTGGCTTTATAGCTGAAGTAGATCCAATACCAGTCAATAATAAATTGCAGACGAAAGAGGCTGAACGTGAGATCAATGTTGCCTCAACGGATACCAACCAAGATAGCCGCGAAGACAAGGTAAGCGTAACAAGATTGCAAAAATCTTATTCGGAAGCTTATTTTAAGAAAACTCCCATAAGATCACATAATCCCGGTCAGACACCTAGCAAAGCAAAGGCAAGATACGAAACTTCACAATCACTTGACTCTCGTAATCGTTCCAAAATACTTTCTACCGATGAAGATGATTCCATATTGGATACAAGTGATCATGAAGGGCAAATGACATCATCTAAAAATCTACTTTCAAATTATAAACGACATTGGCAAAAATCAAGTACAGCTTGGAGTTCATTCAATTCTAACGAGTTATCTAATCCACCTGCTAGCTCGTTATATCCAGCTATTATTAATGAATCATCTCATGGTTATCCAGATCAGACTATTTCCATTTTAAAACATAGCAAGCCTAATGATGTCATTACCGATGACTTAACTTCCGAAGAGGACAACCATAGCGATAGGAATAGAATAGCCAATAAAAGATTAAGTGACTATTATTATAACAATCTTGTGAACTCCCCATTATCATTATTAGATCTACCAGATGAATTACTTCTCATGATATTAAGTAAGATATCCCAAAAA